TGTTTCACGTCCATTTGCTTACGTTTGCGTGACACTCGGGAACTTCCCGGGATCGATCTCAACTTCAGTCGACAGAAGTTCCCACGAGATTCATTTCTCCGTTTCTTGTATATTTATCATATTCTCTGAGGAATAGTATTTTATGATTGGGCGTATTTTTTAAAATTTTGTGAGTTTCAAGGTGTCACTTATTTCTGGCAGATTACGATTATAATTTGTAGAATATTAAATTTCAACGTCATGTCAAAAATCATTAACTCCACTTAACTCCACAGATGTAAACGATGTTTACGTCCGTTGTGATGTGCGAACAGAAATTTGGTGACCTGGTTCCTCTTTTGAGCGATTCCTAAATTAAATTCAAGATTTAGCCTGATAAAAATTAAACATAAACCGGGAGAGCTGACTCAGGGTATCAAATGATGTCACTCTAGTACCTCTGACCGTAGTGAGAGCATAGGTTCGAGACCCGACTGTGGCAGGACTACGTAGCTAAGTCGCATCAAGCCGCTGTCTGGAGAGGAATTCTAGCGACCGGCTGCTCTGATCGGTAGTTTCTCGTGGTGTCTCCGATCAACAGAGGCGAATACCGGAGCAGAAAAAGGGCCACAAAGAGCGCGTGATCTTTCCTTCCACTTCCTTTTCCTATGTTCGTTACTTACTTACACATACGTACACTTACATGCACTACATTACCACACATGCCGGGAGACCGGTCGGGAACTTAACCCCGGCTTGGACGGGGCCCTCTAGTGGGAGATACCTGGTTGAGGAAAACCGAGAGGAATTCCGAAAGGAATATCACCGACACGTCAGGCAAGTCCTTTGTCAGTTGTACACATCCTCCTTATTTCATGCATTTCGTACAAAAAAGGGGTAATATGACTTACGATGCGAAAGTACACCTTTTCTTGGGCTTCAAAATACCTTCATCGTTATCTTATTATACGTAATTGAATCATGAATAAAAGTACCAACAAAGCGAGGTTAGCACCATTTGAAAACTAGAAACTTAGACTCTCTAATTACATCGGAGTAATACTGATTTGACTTGTTATTTGGCAGGCGCTGGGTGCAGCACACTGAACCATCTCCGGCCCTCCTCTGAGAAAAGAAAGTGGGGAGAATGATTTGGGCTGGGAACCAGGTCATGCTGCGAGCTGAAAATAATTCTAACCGCACTAAAATCGACGTCTCTCCACGATATCTCTTCCGGGAAAAAAGAAATTATCAGTTAAAATTAGAAAGAACAAGAATATAGAAAAATTGGAAACAAATTCAAATTGAAAGGTTAAGATAAGATAAAAACAAGTATATTTTAATAATATTTATAAATGGAATACCGTACCTCCTAAAAATTAATCCAATGAAAATCCTATGAAGTGACGAGTAACGAAATTGTTTTTGCAGCAAAGGATCTGAAGATATTTTAAAAAATATTGAAAACTCCACAAAATAAAGAAAAATACAGGAAATACTGAAGTATGAACCAAAAAGATTTGCACTCTCCCTTCAAATAACTTCGAGACGGTACATTTGATACGAAATTCATTCCGCAATTAGTGGGAGATCCAAGGATAGGATCCACTTTTTGTACTTTATCTGCATATGGTTATTAATTTTTATTATTGTTTATTCTTTATAAACTATCAACCATCCTAATAAGCTAAAATTTAAAAATGTGAAACGATTAGTATCGTATTCACCACACCTGAACAAAGATACTGAAGAAAAAGAATAGAGCACAGGAAAACAACTATGCTAAATGAACACAGTCGGTCCAGTTCATCCAGTGCGGTTCAGAAGCTTCTGGATTGCAGTTTTTGGGGCCTTCCGCTTTACCTCATCAGTCCTATGATTGTTAATTTCCTTTCCGTGCTTCGAATACTTAAAACTATGCTGATAAGCGTTACTCTAACCGTTGTTACTGAAGATCGTGGATGTCTATTACCTATTTGGTGTCGCATATGTGGATCAGACTCGGGAGGTGGACAAGAACGAGCAATAGCACAGAGCATTTTTTCTCTTCAAATCAGATATTTCAGTGTCCGATACTCAAAAATTAATTCAAACTAATTCGAAACTACTATATTTCCTCTGGTTGTTTTGAAGCTGCACGCTGCACGACGCCAATCCAAGTTATTCCTCTGCAGCCACGGATCACCAGTTCCTCGCTGAAAAGCAAGTAACGAAGGTTCACCCGTCTTATTCATCATATTTGTATTCTTCTGTGAACTGAAAATGCACCAAAAGGTTTGAATATTCGACTCTTTTGAGAATATCCAGAAGCTCACGATATCTACCAGGGAAAACTTCTTTAGGCTCATGAAGATATTGTATCCTCCAATTCAGCAATGTATCGTAACAAAAATCTCATATTTTGGTAAAATGGACAAAACTCATATGATTTTGACTTTAAATTTCTTATTGCCTTAGTCCTGCAACTTATGAATTGCACTGTCTATTTCCCCAAAAAATCCTAGACATTTTTTGTACAATTGATAGAAATGAGCGCGTAAAGAAGTGAAACCCTCTGCGTGCGAATTTGCTGTTCCTTTGCGCGCGAAATTCACACGCACGCGCTCGCCATAGCGCGTGTCAAATAGCACCGGGAAGGGGGGGATGTTGCGAGGGGGGTGGGGGGAGGGCGCTCGGACTGAGGTTACGGCTGCATAAAGACGACCACCAGGGGCCACCAGGGGCGCTGGGGTCGATGACAGCTGCCACGCGCCGCCCGCTCCAGACCCCGCTCCCCACCATTACCTCACACTGCCCAGGGAGAGGTCACACGACTTTTCCTTACAAGATCCCAAAACATCTCGTTTTTACTTTACCGCTTAATACTTACGTAATATAAGTTCTTCTACAGCGAAAAATGGCGATTTTTCGGCAGAAAAGTATTCTAGTCTCCCGAACCCAAAAAGCAGATAATTCTCGTTCCGGTATGTAATAAATTACTCCCTACCAAACGTTGTTTAATCAGAATCTACGTTTGGTGTGCCACTGATACAGAAATATTGGTTTCCTGCAAAACGTCCGCGAACATCCCTAGGGGCCAAAGAACAAAAGGTTCGCCAATATTAGCGCATCGAACGGAGAGCTGGGCGCCGCTCTAGATGACTCAACCGGCCGCAGCAGTTCGTTTTCTTTTGAATGATAAATTCGGAGAATTTGGGCTGTTCGGCGATTGCCAACAATGCCTTGCAAAACGCGCTTGTCGAACTTCTAATATGAATCTGTGAGTGAAACGATGCCAAATTGTAGAATGCGCACAGTTTACTGGGATTCAGTTGTGTCATCGAAATTCTTTAATAGCCAATTATAGAAAAACTTTAAGAATTTATCGTAGTTTTGTTAAACCAAAAAATATATAGTTTGCATAAATTCGAATATTCATTATTAATCCTAGCATATTGATTGCAACTCAATACTCTATAGTTCCACCCTCACCTGAAACTTGAAATGCATCTTACGTTCATTGCCACATAATGACGAAACAAAGAATTCTACAGACATTTCAACTTCAATACAGATTTAAAGTGTTCATAAAATGCACTGAAACGAATGTAGAGAAATAATATTAGATAAAATAAGCGTTGTTTGAAAGTTTAAAAGAACAGAGAGTAAAAAAATATTTCTAATAGGCCATTTTCCCGTAGCTTGCGAAAGATAAGTCCGGACTACGCAAGCACACCAGGGCTCGCCACACGCTGCGAAGCCCTGAAGTCCCGGAGATGGGGAAGGGGAGGGGGGCGCTGCGGGGGTTGCGATCGCGGTGAGGTTATGGGCCCATAAAGGCGAATGTCGCCCACGCGCCGCCCCCCCCTTTCCTTCCCCCCCCACACACAGGGTGCACTGCTCTTCGCCTTCGCGTCGAACCAGCAGCGCCGCGAAATGTTCAAGGCGTCTGCCCGTCGTTCTGGGCTTCTGGGTGGTGCACACGTAGATATAGCGCCAAAGAGTGGGGAGACGATTGTGATAATTGCTACGGCCAATTATGCGGTGTGTCAACTGCTTACTGAGGTCATTAGATCCGTTAGTGTACTATTGGGGTCATTAGTCCCGTAAGCGTACTACATGTTTTTTTCAGGGAGGTGGCGGTGTTCCTTCTCCACTAGGAAGTAAATCCGGCACAAAGCTACTCGTCTGTTTAGTAAGGACTCCTTTAGTAAGTATTTTCACTTACGAAGCACTACCCCAGGCGGGATATGTTATAAGATCCTGGCATGTGTTGTAGCGGAGTAAATGTAACTGTGTGTGTGTGTGTTTGTGTGTGTGTTTGTGTGTGTGTGTGTGCCAGGGGAGAGGAAGCGACAAGTAAGGGGAGGGCAAAGATCGCGCGCGCTCCGTTGCCCTTTTCTTTAAGTACTACATACTTCGGCATTCGCCTGGTATTGATTAAAAACACGATCGATCAGAACAGCCGGCCGCCAGAATTCTCCGACCTTGCAAGAACGTACTACGTTACAACTAGGTTCCTGTTCTCGAAAGACGGTTCCAGTTTGTCCAGAAGAGAATTCTCGTCGCCGGCTGATCTGATCTGTAATTACCGTGGTTTCTCCGATCAACACCAGGCGAATGCTGGAGCAGTACCATCGAAAATGGGCCACGAACAGCGCGCGATGTTTCCTTCTTCTTCCTTGTCCTATCATCACCCCCTTACACAGGCAATTACACTAACACACACTACACTACCACCCGCCAGGAGCTGAGAGCTTGTGTAGGCTAGGGCAGTGCCCCGCTGGTGGGAGATATCTAGTTGGGGAAAGCCCCTCAGCCGACGTGTAGATCGGCGCCGGATATCATCAATCTGGAGAAGATAACCGCCACCTCCCTCGAAAAGAACAGGCACTGCACTTACGGGACTAATGACCTTAGCGGTTGACGCGCTCGAAATCTCCAATCGGTCTGTCGAAATAGCCCCGCGTACACACGGAACGTCCATTACTTAGCAGGAACAGAAGGAGAAACGAGCGTTAGGTCTGCTGTCGGTACTGACCGGCGGCGGAGGGCGCGCGCTGGGCGTCGGGGCCCGCGCTGGCCGGGGGCGTCTGCGCATGCGCCGAGGCGGCCGCCGCGGCCGGGATGTGCGTCAGCAGCGCGTTGAAGAAGTTGTACAGCTGCAACACCACAATCGCAAACCATACATTAGTGCACTAGCGGACGATCGAGCAATGATACACCTGTTACAGTGCAAGCGAGCAAAGAGTGAGTATGGCAAACTTCAATCTAGTGTATTATTAATGGTAACAAATGGTAAATATTATATGTTAAACTTTTGAATTGTTACATGGCAGTTGACAATAAGCATTCAGCCAAAGCCACCTAGCGGCCAGACAGTTACGTCTCCCAGGTGAAATTGGTTAAGCATCAGACTTCAAATGAGTGAACACGAATGAATAAACACGAGGTGAATTATAATTAATTTGATTAAAGAAATGTCATTAAAAATAAGTATATCTTCTTATTTATTATCAGCTTCATAAATGACAGAGTCATCATAGAAGGGATTCAGTCTTCCTATTTTCTTTTAAGTTTTGGAGACTGGGAAGGGCATGTGACGATTACTGTTACTACTCATTTCTCATTCTTGTGATTTTGTTGTTTTTAATTAATATCCCTTGGTTAGCAGCGGCCTAGAACAACAGTTCAAAATTAATCAGATTTGTCATAAAAATGCATGGGGTAGCTGTAAATATTTTTTTGAAGAATTACTATTGTCTCTTTCGTCAGAATACGTAATATTTACAATTGGAATGGTGAATTTTATTTAAGAAAAATAATGAAGTATTAGTTGACATTTTCAATCAAAACAAAATTCTAATAGATATTTGTGATTTAATTTACATTGTGGAACTGCCTTTAGGCGAGCTCTGAGCGACTGCGTGCCCAGAGTTGGGAAGGCCAGGTGCTTGGAGAATATTTGCTTCCTCTGATGTACACGAAAGATCAATGCGCTGCAGGTAGGGCGAACACCGAATGTTTGGCGTTCGACAAACAGCAAGCTACCAACACACACCACTTGACATACGACGAACGAGTGGCTGCTACTCGCCAAACCACCCTACGACAGACGGAAGGAATCGCAACCTGTGACGTAGGAGTGTGCTGGTTGCACGCTAAATTCCCATAGAGCCACACTCCCTTGATTCTCATTGTTCCACAGGGAGCTGCCCAATAATGTGGTGTTACATCATCGGGAAATGTAGTTGGCGGCACACGCCAACAGTGTTGCGAACTAATTTCATTAATCGTGATGATGTAACTTTCACACGGATAGAACTAACATAACGTCGGAGATTGCGCACGCGTAGAGGCTTAGACGTGCGTTTATATAGCATACGATACAGTGATTTACACTACGCAAAACCCTGCAGTAGAGACTGTTGACATTACGTTTCATAAACCGTCGCGAAGTGCATCAGAGACAAAACATGTGACCTGCATTGTTGGACGTGTAAAGAAAATTAGTTTGAGTTTTCGTTCTAAGACTGATAACAGAATTACTTCCCAACTCTGACGGCAGTGTGTGCTCCTAACGTTAACGTTTCCGCAACTGCACTATTCTATTGTTAGGCATTTATTCCACTAGGAGTGTCTGCAAATTATAATCGGTAGGAAGGAAATTCAGCTTAGACCAAAAAAAAATAATTTGACGAAAATGATCGCGGTCCTCTGTCTGATAGTCAGTACTTATCCGGATGCACAGGTTGAATATTTAAGAACTTCCTCTTAGATTCCACAGAATCTCATCGCACGAAGACCTTTGCTCTGGTCCGTTTTCAACACAACTTCAGGTGGTGTTGACACTAATCTCCACCTACTGTTATGCATGTTTTCAGATCAACATGAATTTATCAAAATAGCTTCATTGTCTATATTAAAAATAAGTCTCAACGTATGTTTCAGAAGAACAGTTACCATGTGAGGATTGCATTAGTATACATTGTCGTTCAACAAACTTTCTAAAATAATCACCGGATAACACATTAAACGATCCCGAAAGCCAAAGACCATGGATAATTTACTGTGTTATGTTGTGGCCCTTTTCTGCACTTCAACATTGCAAAAAAAGACAAAATAAAAACTACCACATGTTCCCAAAGGGAATCACTACTGGCTACACATTTCACCTCCCACTTGAACATAACGCTATTGCTACCTTCTAATATACGGTGGCAGAAAAACAGGTGTTGATAATCAGCATGGAAAGAGTAATGGAAGTTTTCTATGTGGAGAAACAGAACCCTTCCCCTCAACGGAACGGGAGGGCTGTTCCCGGGAACTGAAGTTTTCATCGCCCACGCGGAAACTTTTACTATCCGAACTCCGCAATTTTGAGAAGGCGTGCTATGAAGGCTAAATATTAAATATTAGCTTTTGGAAGTAGTTTTCAAATTAAAGAGGAGAATTATTTAAAATTTAGTTCGCTTCAAATAAAGTTGTTTAATAACAATTGTTCACGGGTTGGCGTTTTGAATGTGGGTGTGAATGATATTCAGTTTTTTAAAATTAAATACTGAAAACACAAAGGCGTCTTCAATTTTAAAGTTGTTCTCGAAAGTAAAAACGTTTGGAGACATTATAACTTTGAGTTAAGTTCAACATTCATTAGCATTCCGCCACTATTTGTGGCAAATAGATTTGTTCACAGAGAGAAAAGCTTTTAAAACACGTTCATCACGAAATATACTCATCCAGTGATTAAACTTCTCACTTATCCGAAATCTTTCGTCAACATGTGTGCCAGGCTCGATTCTACCCACGTAAGTACGGGAAACATCTGGCAGAAGAGAGCATTTGTGTGGCCAATAAAAAGAATGCCTAGTTCAGCGAAGTTCAATTAGGTTTTTCTAAACTGGACCTAGAATAACAGTTCAGAAAAAATCAGATTTGTCATAAAAATGTGTGGGGTAGCTATAAATATTTTTTGCAGAATTACTGTTGTCTCTTTCGTCAAAATACATAATATTTACAATTGGAATGGTGAATTTTATTGAAGAAAAATAATAAAATATTTGTTGATTTGAAATGATAAAATATTTGTTGACATTTTCAATCAAAACAAAATTCTAGTTGACATTTGTGATGTAATTACTTTTACCATACAGGATGTATTCAGTACTAGGAACAACGAAATGAACGGTGAGATTCAGGCAATTAATTTTCAATGAAGTCTCTAAAGTGTTCATACATTGACAGTGACGTAGAACTTAAAGCAAATAAAATTGTGTTCCTCGTATATACTCTGTGATGCTTTTATTTTTTGAAAAAGCGAGCAACGAAACGAAATTAAATAACGGCACATGAAAAGCATACGTGACTTCCAGCTTCCGCTGCATTCCTTCATTTATTTAAAGAGTTTGTATCAAATGTTCATGTATGTGTTTTTGCCAGAATAGAAATAAAAAAAAGGGTTCTCTTCAGCGCTCATGAAAAGTTATGAAATATTCAGAAGAGGTAACTGAATGGCATCTCTGTGGCTGTTTTATTTAAGAAGACAATTCCAAACAGAATTTCATAAAGCGAGGCCTGGCAAAAAATATAATTTAACTTGTCTGATTCCCGGAGAACCAATTTTATTTTACCTAATCTGCTCCAAAGAATATTGCCCTTCTTGGCATGATTCTATAAGAGAGGAGCCTACCTACAATTCGTTCTTGCGTCAATGATTACAAGAGATTCTAATAAGCTGACGATACCCAACGTTATTTTCTGAAAAAATACAAATTACGTATTAAAAAGTAAGCAACAAAGAATGAGGAAATAACCATGAAGCCCTTAACCCGTTTCTTAGTGTACTGCTCCGGAATTCGTCTCATTTTGATCGGTGAAAAAAAAACAATCTACGGATCACAGCAGCAGACTGCTATGATTCTCCTCCAGACTGCAACAAAATTCGACCCTCTCTCCAGCTCTGTCGAAAATCCACCACTGTTGGGTCTCGAAACAAAGAAATTCGCGGTTACAGTCGTTGCAGACACAGTGGCAGTGCTACTCTGAGCTAGTAAATCACCCAGTAAACGTTTAAAAGAATTGTGAAAGGAAAGAAATTGATACTCTCCCTCTTCTCCCCTAAACTTAGTCCATCATTAGATATTCCCAGTTAAGGACAGGTCAATAGAAGAATTAATGGCAAACTGAACACCTACCGTTCTCGTTTTCCTAAAACTTGAGAGAAAGTGACAGAACAATAATGAGTAATTTTTTTACATGTATTCAAAATAAGTTGGCATACATTAGTCGTGGCATACAACAGCCATGGCATACACGAGACTGTCGTGTAAAACTTAAGCCGTACCCCAAACACATACTTATGTTCCGTTCCACAAACATTTTAGAGTTTTAATAGTTTCTCTTTTACGTCGTGACCTATATTAAAGGAGATATCACAGCATAAGTTCTTAAAGTTACTAACATATTCTAACCTGTAGTTTCCTATTGTTAATTAGATGTTACTGGATATTTGCCTTGAAATGCCATGATTTTATTTGTGTGGATATTTGATGTTCATATTCCTTGAGGATTATGATGTACATTTGTAGCTTGTTTTCAGTCTCTTGGATTTCCGCTTTGACATCCATATTATAAACAAGTAACGGAAGTAATTCGACACTGCCAGTGCATATATAGCCTGTTACAAATAAAAAGGAATTAATTACATCTATGGTGTAAACATTAACCCATTTTTGTCATAAAAATATTGTTGCTGGAATTCCGATATGAAAGTATCATATTGAATTACTCCATATTAAGATGTGTCACCATAACGAATTTCATGAAAATCGAATTATCGGTTGCATTGTTTTTGCAAGGCATACAGACATTAATTTTTGTAATATTCAATATTTCGTTCACAGTGGTATGGGAGTTGGGAAATTGGACGGACAGATGTTTTTCGGTGTCAAGAACTCACAAAACATGTATTCTAGTTACCTAGAAGCAAACTGGATTTATCCACTTTTTCGTTACCAGAGCCCTGTAATAAGAGTTTTCCTGCCGAAAATTCGCCGTTTTTTCGGGCAGCATTACATAACTTTCTCCTACTGCGTAAGCGGTAGCGATAAATAAAAACTGCGCTAGAGTCAGTCTCTGTCTCCCCCCCCCCGCCATCGATCTG